GCCTGGCTGGCTTAGTTAGTAGAGCATGCAACTCTTGATATTGGGGTCGTGAGTTCAAGCCCCACATTGGTCATAGGGCTTACTTTAAAAAAAAAAGAGAGGGAGAGAGAAAAGGTGAGAAATCAACTATACTTTAAATAAATAACTTCCGGGGCGCCTGGGTGGCTCAGTTGGTTAAGCGACTGCCTTCGGCTCAGGTCATGATCCCGGAGTTCTGGGATCGAGTCCCACATCGGGCTCCCTGCTCAGTAAGGAGCCTGCTTCTACCCTCCCTCGCCCCCCCATGTACTCTCTCTCTCTCATTCTCGCTCTCTCAAATAAATAAATCTTTAAAAAAATAATAAACAAATAAATAAATAACTTACATTTTGCAGTGAAATGCAGCAAAAACAAAACAAAACAAAAACCCCAAAATGTGAGAAGGAATGTAGAACAGATCTGAGAAGCTTTCACAAACAGTGCATTGTTAGTTCCTCTGAATTAGGAATAGCTTTCCTTTGAGAGGACATTAAATTATGCCGTAGGCCCATTGGGTTAGAGGGGCAGGGGCCAGGGTGGAAGGAGAAACATGAATTCTTTGATTTGGGAGTATTATTAAACAGGAAATTCAAGTGTTAAGGCAGGGAAAAGTGCATTGAGGAGAGATGGATTGATTTTTTTTTTTTTTGATGATGATTTCATTTTGATAACTTACTTTCATTTGGACCAGGGTTGGAGTCATCAACATATTAAAATCTTTAAATCAGATTCAGGTTTGAAAGTGAGGGGGGGGTGTGTGTGTGTATGTATGAAGTCCTGGATTCATTACATTTGCTTCAGGCCACCCTCTCAAACACAGTGCTATAAGAAAACCATTTTCAAATTGTATCCTAAGTTCCTTTGCAGCTTCTGAGAAGGGGCAGGGGTTTGGGATTAGTTTGTAGAACACCTCTGCCTTCCCTCCACTAAGTTTACTAAAAAAAGAAACAAAAACAGAACACTATTGTAATTTTTAGCATCTAGAAGTGCTAAAAGGTGGCAGAGAAGAGCAGTGGTTTTAGAAATCAGGTGACCTGCTTCTCAGTACAGATGAAATCAACAGCACACTGGACTGGGCAAATCACCCTATCTTTCTCGGTCTTGGTTTCCTCATTTGGCTGTTTAATTCCTGTTCCATGATGGTCGAACAGGAAAAAGGGAGGTGTACTTTTATTGCTGTTACCTCTTAACATATCATTTTGTTATTTCTTGCTTGTATTTTAGTTTCTCAGGATGGTTACTACCCTAGCACTTGCCCAGAGGCTTCCCCTCATGTACCCACAGACACCATATAATCCACCCCGGGGGTAGATTGAAAAAGAGCACCTCTGTTTGCTGTCTTCCTTCAGTGCTTGGAAGACTCTGGCATTGTTACTTCCCTGATTTGGAAGAATATTTGTTTAATCTTCACTATATAATGCTAAGTAATGTTAACATGTAATGAATGCTAAACACTATTCTAAAAGCTTTATATTTCTTAACTCATCCACTCCTCCCAGTAACTCCATTTTTCAGATGGGGGAACTCAGGCTCAGAGAGATTAAGTAACATGCTCAAGTTACCAGAAATTTACCAGAGCCAAGCCTCAAACCGAAGCAGTCTGGCTCCCAGACTATATTCTTTTTTTTTTTTTTTTCTAAAATTTTAATTATTTATTTGACACAGACACAGCGAGACAGGGAACACAAGCAGGGAGAGCAGCAGGGAGAGAGAGAAGCAGGCCTCCCACCGAGCAGGGAGCCCAATACAGGGCTTGATCCCAGGACCCTGTGATCATGACCTGAGCCGAAGGCAGACGCTTTACGACTGAGGCAGACGCTTTACGACTGAGCCACCCAGGCGCCCCTCCAGACTAATTCTTAATGACAATACCATATTGTGTTTGATGTATACATGTGTCATTCTAATTACTTTTTATGCATTATTAATATCAAAATAATTCAGTTATAATTATCTTTTGATTTTCAGGGCCCAGAATGTGTTCAGTATCTTCAACAAGAATACCTGCCTTCCTTGCAAGTAGCTCCAGAAATAATTCAGGTAAGAGCTGTCAGAGCAGATATTTTTCTTAATTTAATTAAAGAAATAGGACTATGTAGTTCAATCTAAATTTTGATTCAACAAAGTTAAACTGAAAAAAAAAAAAAAAAAGTTAAACTGCATTCAACTTGATGTTTTACTACATACAGGATCACAGAGTTCAAACTTCCGGGGTATATGAAATTGAATGGGAGAAAATTATATTTTTATTTTCACTAACGTTTAACCAAAAATTTAATTTCCTACCATTGTGTGCGTGACAAATCACAAAGCACAGTAGCACTCGCATTGCCTGTGACTTTGTCACCAGTAGAAATCACAGATGTTTTTGTGTCACATTAGTTGTTTCAGGGATCTCACAATACTGTTTATACTTCAAGATACTGAAATTGTGAGTTCTTAAGATACACCACTAGACCTTGTTATCCAAATCAGTAAGTCTTATTATTCTAGCACATATCAAAAATATTTTTTGATAACCATAAGCCATTATAATTAGTTTTCTTTGTAATCCCATGTATTATAAATTTTTAAAAATGGAGGCGCCTGGGTGGCTCAGTCAGTTGGGCATCTGCCTTCAGTTCTGGTCATGATTTCAGGGTCCTGGGATCCAGCCCTGCATTGGGCTCCCTCCTTGGGGAGTCTGCTTCTCCCTCTGCCTCTCACCCTGCTCTCTCTCTCTCTCAAATAAAATCTTTAAAATAATAATAATAGATTTTTTAAAAATATTTTATTTATTTATTTGACAGAGAGACACAGTGAGAGAGTGAACACAAGCGGGGGAAGTGGGAGAGGGAGAAGCAGGCTTTCCGCCGAGCAGGGAGCCTGATGCGGGGCTCAATCCCAGGACCCTGGGACCATGACCCGAGCCGAAGGCAGACGCTTAACGACTGAGCCATCCAGGCGCCCCAATAATAATAGATTTAAAAAAAAATTCTAAAAGTCCAGTAGGCTGCCCTAGACTGCCAAAGGGCACCACAACACACAAACCTACTGTGAAGATTGGTGCTAGGTAGTTTATTTTACATATGCCAAGCTTATCAATGCTTAATTTTTAAATCTGAAACTATGTTGTGAAGTATCTGGAAAGCGATGTTACATTTTACACTATTGCAGAGTAATTTTTTTAATGGCATTCAGTGATTTTCTTGGTGTGTAGTTATCCAGACTTGTCCAATAGCACATAGATCTAATTGAGATATCAGAGATGTTTTGTTGTTGTTGTTATTTTAAGATTTTATTTATTTGACAGAGAACAAGCACAAGTAGTGGGAGCCCAATGGAGGGAGGGCTCAATCTCAGGACCCTGGGATCATGACCTAGCCTAAGGCAGACACTTAACGACTGAACCACCCAGGCACCCTTAAAGTTTTTTTTTTCTTTTAATCAAGGTTTCCATGTTACTTTTTTTTTAACTTTTTTTATTTATTTATTCATGAGAGACAGAGAGAGAGAGAGAGAGGCAGAGGGAGAAGCAGACTCTGATGCGCGGGACTCGATCCCAGGACCCTGGGATCATGACCTGAGCCGAAGGCAGATGCTTAACCATCTGAGCCACCCAGGCGCCCCACCCCTTAAAGTTTTGATTACAAATCTCTCCATCAGATTCTAAGAATTGTTTCTTCACCAACAGTGTTTTTAAAAAGGTTTTATAATGCTATTTTATGAGAGACATTGAAAAAATTGGATGAAAACTAGGATAGATCTTGCATAAGAGTGATCATAAAACTCATTTTTAATGAATTTATGATCTCTTATTTCATGACATACCATCTTAAACTTTAAAGGTATTAATGGATTTTCTCAGCTTTAATTTGTTACATAAGTAATGTTTTAATGAAAGCAGTAAGTTACTAATTAGATGAGCTTAATGCCCATCAAAAATAGAAATATACCAGATTGCTAAGTAAAGCAAAATTGTATTTCTGTCTAATAATTTGATTATAAAAAATAAGCATCCCCAGTTTTCCCTTTTTCATATGCCTTCTGACAACACTTTGCAGAATTCTGTTAGACTTAACCTCTTTTTCTTTTGGTCAAGCTCTGCTCAGTTACCACTCTTACTAGGTGAGAACAGTCAGAGCAATGTAGTTTTTGTCCCATTCTCCCTTCTCAGGCATGAGTCAACCTTGTTTAGGAGAGCCATGTTCTCAAAAATGAAAGCAGCCTATATCTGACAAGTATTACATTTGAAAATGCCATAGAACCTTTTTTGGTGAGGAACTGTTCTAGGTGACTTTGATAAGTCATCATACTACTACTGTAGATTTAAAGCAACTTAAATGTCTTTTGACAGATGAATGGATAAGTAAGATGTAGTATATACATACAATGGGATATTATTCAACCTTAAAGGACATCCTGTCACATGTACAACATGAATGAACCTTGAGGACATTATGCTAAGTGAAATAAGCCAGTCACAAAAAGAGAAATGCTGCATAATTCCACCTATATGAAGTATCTAAAGTAGTCCAACCCTTAGGAACAGAAAGTAGAATGGTGGTGGCCAGGGGTGTTGGGGAAGGGAAATGGGGGAATTGATGTTCAATGGGTATAGTTCCAATTTTACAAGATGAAAAGTTCTAGAGATCTGTTGCACAACAGATCATATAGTTCATGGTAATGCACCGTACGTACAAAAATGGTGGTTAAGGTGGTCAGTTATATGGGTTTTTTTTAAACACAATTCAAAAAAGAAAACTGTGGATTTGAATTACTGTGAATTTAATACAATTAGATTCATTCTCTTTCCTCCTATCTTGGCCCCTCAGGAGTTTTGTCAAGCGCTTCAGCAGCCTGATGCTAAAGTTTTTAAAAATTACTTAAAGGTACGTATTTGGAAAACTTACATATCTTCGTACAACTAGGTAATACTTTAGAGCAGAGAGAGAATACATATTACAGGATACTATGTCATACTGTAGTCTTACCAATTATTACTTATTTGGGGATATCTTCTAAAACCTGCTTCTAAAAATCTATAGTTTTAGATGTTATACTTCAGAGTTTTCTATAAAGCCCCTTTCAACTGAGTTCTTAGAAAAGATCATAAAAAGTGAGGTAAGCACAGTGTGTACATGCTTGAACATACTATGAAAATGCCAGTTTCCTTTTACAGTTTGTGATATAATTAAATAGGAACTACAGGATTGAGACAAGTAATGTTTAAGAACATGTGCCCATATTGAATTGAAAGAAAGGAGCTAAAAATATGAAAACAGAAGTATGAATTACTTGGTTATATCCTATTTTTGAAACTTCTGAATTGTAAAACGGACAGAAAGAATCCTCAGATTTGGCAGTCAAGGCTCTTTTTACATTTGTAAATTGAGTGAATTTTTTTCTTTTAAAGATTTTATTTATTATTTATTTTAGAGAGAGCACATGGGGGAGGAGCAGAGTGGGAGGGGAAAAAATCTTCACCAATTCCGCACTGAGTGTGGAGCCTGATGCAGGCTTGATCTCACAGCCCTGAGACCCTGATCTGAGCCGAAACCAAGACTGAGCCACCCAGGCGCCCCATAAATTCAGTGAATTGTTTTAAAAACTCTCAAAGTTGACAAGAAGTACCAAGTGTTTATTTGGTATTCATATTTACAATTTAAAATCTTGCTCTTACCCAGTAATGAATGACCCAGCCAGTCATTCATTACTCCATGATGGCTTTTTATGTAACAGGCACTATGCTAACTGCTGCAGATAACCATACGAGTTACTTTTCTTGCCTATAAAGAGCTTGTGTTCTGGAAATAAAATTGCACTGTGACAAGATGAAGAACTGTTCTTTGTTTCTATTACAACTTCATTCAACAAATCTGAGGACAAAACACTATGCTAAATATGTTGGTAGCAAGTGACTTAATGAATGACTACCTGGTTCTTTTGTCCAAGGCATTCAATAAAATTCATAAGGCAGGGCCTTTGCTGAGGAAATAAGTGTTTCATCCTTTGACTTTGCTTCTATAACAACTTTCCTTGTCAGTTTTTTCCCCCGAGTACTAGTTTGTCAGCTTAAACTGACGGGAGTTTGTGAGAAGAATATTAGAAGTTACTGTTTATCATTGGGAACCCTCCCCACTCGCATTTTCCTATAAAAGCAAAGTGCCTATGGAAGTAACAGTCTGCTAAATAACTGATCCAACTGGGTGAAAGGACTCACAAAAATTGTAACTCTTACAGGTATCTGTAACAGCAGATCCAGGTACAGTGTAGCAGGCTCGTGCTCCAAACATAGTAATTCATCCAACTGCATTTATAAAAAGTCTTCCTCCAAGCCCAACTTTTTTTTCAGTGCAAGCATTATGTCCAGGATAGCACTGTTCTTGTTGGGAAAAGTGAAGTTCCTTCTTTTGTGCCTACTCTTTTTAGACGTGATTGATCCTTAGATCTTGCAGATTCTCTTTTCCTCACTCTCAACTTCCTCTCTGTCTCCACTCCTGCTACTCTGGTGTGGATTTGGGTTCTCTCAGGCCAATATCCCTTCTCTTGTAGCCAAGCTGAGCTGTTTGAGAACCCTGAACAGTCCTCTGAAATTCATTCCCCTTATACTCTTCATAAACCTATATTGTTGGCTAAAAATAAGTTCATGACGGGGCACCTGGGTGGCTCAGTTGGTTAAGCGACTGCCTTCGGCTCAGGTCATGATCCTGGAGTCCCGGGATCGAGTCCCGCATCGGGCTTCCTGCTCAGCAGGGAGTCTGCTTCTCCCTCTGACCCTCTTCCCTCTCGTGCTTTCTATCTCTCATTCTCTCTCTCTCTCTCAAATAAATAAATAAAATCTTTAAAAAAAAAAAAATAAGTTCATGTTTCTTAGTTTGACATTCAGGGCTTTTTTTTTTTTTCCCCCACATTCTGATCTCAGACCGTCTCTGGTTTCTCTTGCTGAAAGTCTTTGGCTATTCTTGCTGTTCTTCAAAAACTCTGCTTTATTAGCAACCCTCCTCTTTTATGAATTCGACCCATTCTTTTCGGTTTGCCTCAAACATGGCTTCTTTTAAGGCTTTGTTTGCTCATATAGTGATCATTCTTCTCTTCACTTAGTTAATAGTTTGTTAAATGAATGCCTGATCTACTAGGTGCTAGGGATACAATGATGAATACAGTCCTTCATGAATTTATGGCCAGTAGATTTTCTAGTGCTCACTTAATATGTACCTAACTATGGCTGGCTTAATTCAGATTCGTGAGTTCGTGCCGCCCCACATTGGGTGCAGAGATTACTTAAAAATAAAATCTTTACTTAAAAAAAAAAAAAAAAATTTTACCTAACTGTGGAGGGTAGTATGTAATATTGGACCAGTCACCAGCACAACCTCTAGCCTATTCATTCATAGTCTCAAATGTTGAATTGCAAGTATTTTTTTTATAATCAAATAGTAAATTCCTTAAGGGATAACAGCTGCTAGCTTTAGCTTTGATTTATTTCTTCCTCAAAATTTAACTTCCCAATATTAGCTGTGACAGTGTGCCAATCAGAAAAGGTATAAATAGAGCATGTTTTCCTCTAACCACTTGAATTCTCATCACATTAGAGTTAATAACCATATTTTCACTAGTTTCCCAACTAATGTCAACATAAGTTATCTCTAGGTTTGATTAAATTGTCCAGAAAAGAAAGTTCTTGAACCATGTGTGGATTTATGCAATATGTGAAATGTTCTAAATACTGATTATATTTTACAAAAGAGTGACTAGCACTTACTGACTTGGAGCCATTCTTCAGGTAAAAGGTGATATCTTTTGACATCAGTACTAATTGTACTAATATTTTATTTACAGGTATTCTTCCAGAGAGCAAAGCCCTAAGGACTGGATCTCCCTGTGCCTACTTTATGATCAGGAATTCCAGTTAATTTATAAAGAAGCAGTTTTGTGTGCCATTCACACTGGTTTTTTTAACATTGCTTTAAGCTTATTGCAGTATATGTATTGGGATTTTTCTGTAAAATGGTGTAATTTTCTCTGAATACAGGTATGTGACAACAAGAGAAGTTGCTTGCATGCCAGTTCAAACTGTTCTATATAAAAATGCTGTTAAAAGATACAGCACGGTTATCCTAGTACCTTTTTTTTTTTTTACTTGAAACGTTAAATCCTTTATAAAGACCATAGCAGGAAAACTGTGTACTTTTTTTTCAATTGCTAAATATAAAATGTTTGAAAATTTTAATTTTCTTTTACATGTGCCGTCTCAAAATATGGAGGAAATATAATAAATCAAAACTAATTTTTTGTAGATAGCCATTACATTTCTTTAAACTGTTTTCAATGCCAATGTGTGTTCTACAAAAGAGAATGGTTTCATAAATTAACTGATTTAAGAGTAGGTACCAGTGTTATACACTTTTTATAAAAAAATAAAAATAAATTTTACGTAGTGAAATCTAAGTTTTTTTGGCATTATTATTATAAATACTTTAGTCTTATTTTCTCATCTCTCCCTGATTTCCCATTTAAAGAATTGCACATAGAAGCTTATAGATGATTTATCTATGCTCCCAAAAGGTTACATGCAACTTAGTTCTCTTCAGTTCTTTTTAAAAAAGCCTATTTCAATCTAGTGTTAGAATTTAAAATCCACTTTTTCCCTCTTTTATTGGATTTACTTAGGACACTATACCTATGTGTTAATGATGCTTACAAGTAGCTGCCCATTTAGTTACTAGAAGTACTTTTCCCCATTTTTATTCACAACTCTGCAAGAAAAGCAAGAGGAAAAATAATAGTATCAGTAAGTATATAAGAAATTAAGAGAGGAGGGATAAACTGAACAGCAGAATTAAATTGCTACAGTCATTGGGGAGGGTATGTGTTGTAATGAGCACTGGATACTGTATAAGATACGAATCACAGACCTATGCCCCTGAAACAATGCATTCTATGTTAAGAAAGAAAGAAGAAGGAAGAAAGAAAGAAATTACTACAGTCATTTAAGTTTAAATTCTAAAAGCTCAAGTAAGATTTTAGGGGAGGGTTTTTTTTTTTTAACCTTTGGCCCATGTGGTTCCCCTAAAGGTTTCATGATGGGCTTCAGTGGTCTATTTAAACTCCCTAAAACTATTCTAAGTTATATACATAAATCTTTTCTGGTGTTAATTCCAGTAGTAATTTTAAACATTTTCCTTACATCATAGAATAAAAGTACTAAACTAATGGTTGTTAAAAAAAAAAAAAAAGATGGGTGAAATGTGTATTATGCTTAAATAAAAATGTTAAGAAGAGGTGAGGGGGACCTAGCTGGCTCAGTTGGATAGAGCATAGGACTCTTGATCTCAGGGTCATGAGTTCAAGCCCCACCTTGGGCATAGAGCTTACTTTTTTTTTTTTTTTAAGATTTTTATTTGAGAGAGAGAGCATGAGCAGGGGGAGGGGCAGCGGGAGAGGGACAAGCAGACCCTGCTGAGCGCAGGGCCCGATATGGGGCTGCATCCCAGGACGCTGAGATCATGACCTGAGCCACCCAGGCACCCCCATAGAGCTTACTTTAAAAAATATATATATATATACCTGGGTGGTTCAGTCGGTTAAGCATCCTACTCTTGATTTTGGCTCAGGTCATGATCTCAGGGTGGGGTGGGATCGAGTCCCACGTCAGGCTCTGCGCTAAGTGTAGAGCCTACTTAAGATTCTCTCTCCCTCTCCCTCACCCCCCACACCTGCTCGCTCACAATTGTTCTCTCTCTAAAGAAAAATAAAATGGGTGTGTGAAAGCTTGAGTGTTTCATTGGTAAGTTTCTCTGTACAGTGGGAAAGATCATTGCATCTAGTGCAATAGCACTTTTTTTTTCAAAGTATACTAACAAGTCAGCATAGTGCCTAAGAGCTAAGACAGGCTGCAGATTTAAGAAGGTTCAGATAACAGTTCTGCTAGTCACTGGCTTTAAGAAATTTAAGTAAGTTAAATAACTTCTCCATACCCATTTCCACATCTGTAAAATGGGGAAATAATGGTGGCTACCTCACCCAAGTTTTTAAGCATGAATAGCTTACTGTAGTACCAGTGCATGAAGGCTTCTTTACTAGCTATGGTCACTGTACTATTAGTTCCGTATATGTAAAGATGACGCCTCCTTTTTCCCTGTTTAAAGCCCTTCAAGAGATTCGTGTATGGGGCGCCTGGGTGGCTCAGTCGTTAAGCGTCTGCTTTTGGCTCAGGTCATGATCCCGAGATCCTGGGATGGAGCCCCGTGTTGGGTTCCCTGCTCAGCGGGAAGCCTGCTTCTCCCTCTCCCACTCTCTCTGCTTGTATTCCCTCTCTCACTGTCTCCCTCTCTCTCTGTCAAATAAATAAAATTTTTTAAAAAAAATTCATGTATGTTCAGAGCCAAGAGAAAACGAAACATTATAGAAATTAATAAGAGTCTGCAATAGAAGATACACTTCATGTTCTATAGTCATGTATAATTCCCATCTTTCCCTGAAGTTACCCAGAGCACTTTATTTAGAGAGTACCACAGCAATTAGGAAACTCTGCTTCATCATGAATTACTTGTATTTAGTTTCCAAAAACAAGGACCCAAATAATTGTCACAAGAGTGACTCTCACCTCTTGACAGGTGAGGTCACTGAGGCAAAAGACAGGGATTTGTGTGATTTGACTATGGAACAACAAGGGTTTTATAATGCCTGGTCTAGTTCTGTGCCAAACAGTTTATTTAAAGTCTTAAATGTTAAGGTTAATTGGTTCACAAGCAGCTCTACCTTTAAGAAAATACCTGGTATTTCAGTGGTAAATATGTGAATCAAGGCCTTTGGCTCAGCTAATTACATTTTCTCCTATAAAACTTTTGAGCTGTAAGTCTTAACTGTTGTAAGGAACCTGGACAGGTCCCCTTCTTGGCATTAGATACAGGATTGAAATTGGTTGGAATTGTAAGCAGTAAATAGATTTGTTGTTAGAATGCTTCCATCTAACATTGGTTAATTAAATGGTTCCAATTAAACATTGTTCAAAGTCTAATAAAATAACTTCCTTTGTAACAACGCATTACTGTGGACTTGTTATCTCCATTGCGCATAGGACATAACAGACTTTGGAGGGGGTGGGGGGGGAGGTGGACGTGCTTAGAGTCAGTATTTGGTGGGGAGAGTTGGGACTGCAACTCCAGATCTGTTCCATTCAAAAGCCTCTGGTTTCCTATTTCATTCCTGGTCGCTGTAGTTCTCAACTAGGAAGAATTCTTCCTCTTCAAGTTTAGCCCTGAATCAGCCAGAGTCTCTGACCTCTCACTTTGTTGAGAAAGGCTGCAGTGCAGTCCGTGGGCAGAAGGGATCACGGTAGGGAGCAGCTGCTTGAGATCTCGGCGGCACGAATATTTCAGGACCTGATTTCAGTCAAGTTCTCCAATAGTGCCATTTTCCAAAATACCGTGGAAAGAGGGAATTAAGACAACTTTCACTCCTGACTTCCTCACTCCACAACGCCAAAAAATAAAAAAATAAAAAGGAATTAAATGAGCTTATTTACATTAAGAATTCCATTAAGAATTCCACGTCTGGATTATTCTGAGGCGATCATGGGACTCCATTGCAGCCAACACAGCCTTTAAAACAGTTACAGATCTATCCCTCCAGACTATATTTCCCAGTGACAGCTTCGCACGTGTCCAGCATTCTGCACACCTGTGACTATTAGAATGTTTGCAATCAGGAGTTCAATGTCTGTCTTCCCCACTATCACCGCACGCCGCACCCCGTCGTTGGCTGTCGAGGACGGGGCGGGATTTGCAGTTCTGGGAATCCGAAACTGCTCACTGCGCAGGGCTCCCTAGCTTCACGCTTAGAGTGAGGCAGGGACAGGCAGAGGGTGTGGACCAGGTCGGACTCCAGACAGCCCCCAGTCTCCCCGCCCCCCCGCTACAGAGAACCGGGAAGCCAGCCGCCGCACCAGCCCGGGCGGCAGGATAGGCGGCGGAGGCCGAGGCTGGTCCGGCGGACGTGCGCACGCGCACCCGCGCGCGCCGGCCGTCGGTCACGTGGCCCCCGGCCAGGGCTCGCGAAGCCGGAAGTGTCCCGGGGCTCAAGGAGGCCGCGGGAGCCCGCTGGAGGTAGTGCGACGGAGACCGGGCGCGGTAAGTGGGGCGGCGCGGACGGAGGGGCCGAGCTGCGCGGGGCACGGGCGGCGAAGCCGGCATGGGCCGGCGAGGAGCGCACCCTCCCCCTGTGGGAAATTGGGATGCTGAGTCAGAGCGGGGGCGGGGCGGGAGACCCAAGAAGCCCAGCACTACCCCAGGCCGAGCCCTGCCCGGACCTTGGCTGGGTGGACGCCGCCTCCCGGGGGTCTGGGGCGTCCGAAACCCGATGGAATGGTCACGCGGGCCCGGTCCCTTCCATCTCTACTCCTCGCCCCCCTGGGCGGCCCTATGACCGGGGCCCTCCCGGGTCATTGTATAGCGACGTTGGGCACCAAGAAAGAGGACGTGCCCGTTACCGGGTATGGGCCCTGGCCGCCCCGGAGAGACGGATTCCCCCTTTTTCTTAGAGTTTGACCGGTTTCTACCCCTCTTTATGAGCGTTGACACGATCGGCAGTGTTTAAATGGTTCGATTTTTCAGATGATTGAAGAGACGTTTCGTTAGGGTTTTAGTGATGACAACGGCGGGGATTGACTAACCGGAAGCTGGAAGCAGAGGACGTCTATTAGTATACACACATATAATGTGAATTCCCAAATATTTCCTTTGGGAAATGGCTTACGGGTTTATCTTCCAGTCCCCGTTTCCCAGGTATTTTAAGTTGGTGGCCTCAAAACAAGGTCTACCCGTTAATTGTCCAGTGCAGAACCAAAGACCCACTTTTTTCACTCTAGAACCCTGAATTATTAACATAGTGGTGAAGTTTGGAAATCCTTGAACTTTGTCCATATGCCTGTCATCAAACCTGTTTTCGTCTGTGGACAAATAGTAACTTTCGTTTTGGACAGTATGAGGAAGTAGGCTTAAGGCAGTCACTAGTAACATAGTTGTTGAGTGCCTGCCTATAGTGTATCAAAATTTGGTGAAGATTTATAAAGCAAACACCTTGTGGATGTGCTTAGTCATGTTTTAGCATGCTGTTATTGTGGGTTTATTGGAAGATAGTTTCAAAAGACGTTTCCCCCTCATCATTGTGAAAGTAGGCTTATATCTTCATATAGAAAGCTGATAAATATGCTTATATATTCACTAGATACGTGTAGGTACCTAATGACGCTATTTTACATTTACAGTTACCTCAGCACAGTTACAGTAATTAGGGAAGGTTTTTCATTCTTGAAAAATATTTGAAAATATTGAAAAGATAGTTGAGAAGTTTATTATTACTAACCTCAGCTGACAGATGTGTATTCCTTACTTGTCAAAAGTGGATCTTATTTTTATTGCTTATTTCCAGTAAATTTCTGTG